GTCGCGTCGCGGCGCTTGATGAGGATCTTTTCTTCGTTGCCACGCCGTGGCGTGGCGTGTCGTGGAGTGCGTGGAAAAACTGTAGCTGAGAACGAAGAGCGGGTAATTGGACACCGGCCGGCCATATTAGAGCACGGAGAGACAGACGAAGATAGTGGGATCGAAGGACGGAACGTGAGAAACGCGGAGAAGGAGTGGAAGCTGCGCGAACGCGGAGGAACAGAGAAGGGAAACCGAGCGGATAGAGAGAGGGAGAGAAAGAGAGAGAAAGAGACAATGTGTGTGTGTGTGTGTGTGCGTGCGTGAAGCGCAAGATTCTTCAAGAAGAGAGGGAAGGGATGGAAAAACGGGAAGGAAGAAAGAGGTGAATCGGGAGACGAATGGCGGAGAGGAAAAAGGTTTGGGAAAAAGGTTTGGGAAAAAGAGAGAAGAGAGAGAGAGAGAGAGAAGAGAGAGAGAGAGAGAAGAAAAGAGAGAGAGAGAGGGGAGGAAGGGNAAAAAAAGAGAGAAGAGCCGAAGATTGTGCGTGAAGAGAAGCGGATGATACGAGCGACGAGGATGAATTAGCGCAAATTAAGCGCACACCGAGCAGAGATGAGAATTAAGACGATTCCGATGTAAATGTGGTGGTAGTTAAGTGTGGCGAAGCGATAGAGAAGAAGGAGAAAGCTGGTGGGCGCGTAAGCTTTTCAGAACGGATAGAAAAACGGAGAGAACGAAGAGGCAGAGGCGTGGATGAGAGATCACGGCGGTGATGGAAAAACCCCGTATCCACCCCATTGGTGGTGAAAAGATTCAGAGAACGGTTTCTTTACGCTTACTTCGGAATTATTATCGAAATCCACGAAGTATTCTTCGTTCATATTGGAAGAAAGAGCGGGGAGGATATCTGTCCTACGCGGAGAGGAACTGGCTCGTGGACGAGTTAATAAGTCGTCTTTGAAGAGAATAGTTGAAATAATAATAAATAGGTAATAATAAATAATGCTAGGTAGGGACAGTGTGAGATAGGGACAGCTCTTGAAAAACTTGGAAACTCGGGAAGGCTGAGAAAATCGACGACTTCCCACACCGTTCGAAATCCCCGAGATTTCCCAGCCTTCCCCTTCGCGCTACGAAATCCCTTCCCCCCCGAATAGGATCGGTTCGAGGG